CATCTTCAATAAAAACCCAACACACTTAGTTCAACAACATGTTGCGATGCTCATTCACCCCAACCTAATGAGATTCATCCTGAAATGCAAGTCTTTTAACAAACACAAATGACAAAACTACATGATATCTCTAATAAATGCAGAAAGTCATTTGACAAAATTCAGTATCCTTTTATGATGAAAACTCTCAGCAAATTAGGTACAGAAGTAACGTTCCTCGATGCAATAAAGTTACATGTGACAAACTCATCTAACATCTCATTCAATAATGAAAATTTACAACTGAAAGTTTTTTCTTTAAAAATAGGAAAAAGCAAGAATTGCTATTGTTGCCACATCTAGTCAGCAGAGTCATGGAAGTCTTAGAAATAGTAATTGGGCTAGATAATCAAATAAAATGCATTCAAATCCAGAAAGGAAGAAATAAAGTTGTCATTGTTTGCAGATGACATGATCTTATATGATAAAATATTACCAAGCATCTGTCAAAGAATTAGAATTAATAAAGTATAATTCTACAGATATAGAATCAACATACAAAAATAATATAATTTGCACATACCATCAACTATTCAAAAAGAAATCAATCCTATTTGTCATAGCTTTAAAAGTACTTATACAAATTCAATGAAAGAGATGAATATATATTCTGGAAACTGTAAAATGTTGATAAAGGTAATTGAAGAAGAGAAACAGAATGATGCTGATGATGGGTTGGAAGAACTAATATTGTTATAATGTCTCTATTAATATAAACAGTCTCTAAGTAATATGCTATAAAAATTCAAGTGATAATTCTCCCAGAAATAAAAAACCTTAAGCTTGTATGGACCATATAAGAAACTCTCAATAGCCAATGCAATCACTACAAAAAGAATAAATCTGGAGGCATCACATTACCTGCATTTAAAATATACTAAAATTCATACTGATCAAAAAAGCATGATAAAATATTAGAACATATACTTCCTTTACAGTCACTATATTTACAACAATTTATTACACATTTTATGATGAATGAGAAGAAAGGATTTTCAACCCCCTAAACAGAAATTTTAAGAAGAGGGAAATGCTCATTACCTCGCTGATCACTACACATTATGTGTTAAATCACAATGTACCCAATCAATGTGTATGACTCATACGTGTCAATTAAAAATTTTACAAAATGGTGTGATAGTGGCATAAAAAGGCATATATTATATTGAAACAGAATGGAGGGCCCATCAGTAAATAAACCCACACATATGTTGAAAATTGAGGTTTTACACATCTGCCAAGAATGCACAATAAGGGAAAAGGTAGTCTCTTCAATAAATAGCTCTGCAACAACTGGATAGCTACATGCACAAGAATAAAATTAGACTCCCTCACATTGTGATTATTGCTCAAAATTGATTAAACAGTTAAATCTTAGAGTTAAATTGTGAAACAACTCGATGAAACATATGGGAAAATGTACATGGCATTCTTGTGGGCTGTGATATTTAGATATTGACCTTATAAACCCTCAAACAGACAAATAGGGCAGCATCAAAGTTTTTCTCTGCACTGCAGAGAACAAAATAGAGTGAAGAGACAATAACAGAATAGGAAAAATATTTGCAAACCACACATCTGATAAGCTGTTAATATCCACAATGTGTAAACAACTCAGCAAATAGTTATGGGGGAAAAGGAACGCTTCTACACTGTTGGTGATGTTCAGTAGTATAGGCACCATGAAAATGAGTATTACAATTTTTGAAAAAATTAAAAATAGAGACATCATTTGATCCAGCTGTAGAACTTCTCAGTTTACTCCTGGAAGAATTAAAGTAAGCATTCTATAGAGATGCCTGCATACCCATGTTTACCACAGCTCAGTGCCTAATAGGTAATCTGTGAGAATCGCCTCGACACTCATCAGCAGATGAATGGAGAAGACAATGTGTGTGTACAAGAGAATGTTACCTAGCCATGAGGAAGAATAAATTATGTCGTGTGCTGGAAAATGCACGGAACTGGAGATCATCATGTCAGGAAAAGTAAAGCAGACTCAGAGGGTCAAATAACATGTTTTCTCTCATATGTGGAATCTAAAAAAATAATTGGAGAAATAAAAGGGATAAATGCCAGGAAAGGAAGGAAGAGTCTTAGTGTTAAGGAAGGGGTGGGGAGGAGGAGGAGTGCAATAGGAAGGAGCAAACAGTCAAAGTATGTTATAGGCGTGTGCTAAATACCCGAATTAAATCCTCTATTCTCCACAACCAATATGCACCAGTAAAACCTTTAAAAAGAAGTCAACACTCCACAATAAAGATGATGTTATGCTATTTCAGTAGAAAGAAATGTTCAAAAGATATGGCAATCTGAATCTGTCTCCTTAAGCTTCACAATGCTGCAAACATTAGTATTTCCTCAGGTTTGCTTTTGTATATAAACATTAGAAACCTCAAGACTGAAGAAAAAATGGATGTGGAGAAAAAGGGTCACTTAAAATGTGTTTAAATTGGTAAGACTGTTGTAGAAAATAGTATGGAATTCTCTCAAAAATTAAAAATAAAGCTACCATACTATCTAACCATCATAGCACTGGCTACACATCTCAAGGAGATGAAGTCAGAATGTCAAAGTGGTACATACACACCCATGTTCATGGGGCATTATTCCTCAGTTAGAGCATGGAACCAACCCTAAAGCCCACCAGTGGATGAATTGGTGGAGAAAATGTGACACATATACAAAACATGAAGGAAATCCTGTGATTTGTGACAACATAGATGCAGCTGGAGTAGATGATGTTAAATTCAGTAAGCTAGGTATAGAAATACAACTTCTGACAAGAAAAGAAATACAAATTCTGCAATGGTCTCACATGGAATCTACAAAGTTGATGTCATAAAAGTAAATATTAAAATGCAGCTTACAAGGTGCTGGGGGGAGGGAGGATGGGTGATTGTCAAAAGATGGAAGGTTCATTACGTTTTGAAAGGTGTAATAAATTCAAGAGCTCTATTGTACACCGTGTGAATTATAGTGAATGATGGTGCACTGCACTTTTGAAAATTGCTAAGGAAGTAGATTTTTTTATTTTAAAGATAAAAGGAGGGAAACATTAACAGACATAGAACATTTTACAACATATCACAAGCACAATACAGACAATACAGAGTTACAAACAAAGTAGTAGGGAATTAACAATGGTTGTATTACATATTGATATCTTCAAAGTGGCTTGCTAAAATGTGGAAGCAACCCAAATGTTCATCCACCGAGAATTGGATAAGAAAATTGTGGTACTTTTATATAATGGAATATTACTCAGCTACAAAGAAAGATAAACTCGAGGCCTTTATATTTAAATGGTCACAACTAGAGACCATACTCATAAGTGAAATAAATCAAACATACATGTGCAAGCACCGCATTGTGTCACTAGTGTAAAACTTGAAAGAGTTAATTTAAACTCGGAGGTATGATAGACACTGTGAAATGATAGGAAACCACTGAAGAGTAAAGGGCTTCTGGGATGTGGGAAAAGAGAAGGGAACGAAGGAGAAATTTTGTATGTATGTATATACAGGATAGATAACATGGTTGTTCTTCTGTCTTCTATTTCTATGCTGAAAGAAACTGTCAATGAGTCTTTGGTTGACCAGTATTGCATGTCTATATCTGTTTTCATAAGGAAGTAGATTTTTAAGAGTTCTCATCATGTGAAAATTTTAAGCATATGAGGTATTGTGGAAGTCAATTATCTCAATATATCCAGTCTGTACATTGGACTTGTACTTGTCCAGGACAAGTTTCAAAACAGCATGTTAGGCACAATACACATATAGATTAAAAAATTTCACTTAAAAAGTAAAATTTAACAAACCTTGAACTTTCCCAACCTCATCTTTTGAGCCTCTGATAAAACAGGTGCCTGTGGGATGCTGAAGTGATCATGTCATATGTTAATGTTAGTGCTCAAAGGAGTGTTTTCCCTTTACTGAAAAAATGATTTTCTTACTTATTGTTTCACTCAGTCAACAAAAACCACATGTACTTAGTTGTAGTGTTTTCTCTATCTGTGTGGAATACTCAGGTTTCTAGACATATTGCAATATTTTGGAAACTCCTATAATGTATCCTTGCTTCAAGTCTTGTGCTGTATTATATTTTCAAGCACCCATATTTTTACAATGAGTTTGTTTCTTTATTTTAAAAAATTTTCCATGTACTTGTCATTTTGTGCCCAAATTTTTAAGGTACAGTCTGTTCAAAACACAAAGGAAAGCTTATTCTGTATTATTTTTGAAGACAACAATATTTGTTTTTGCTGTCTTAACCCATCCTACCTCTCCATTATAAAGAGACAGGAAGCTTCATGACATAGATTAGTTTGCTAAGCTGATCTAGAGGAGTAACTAGGTGAAAAATAGATCAGTGGCTCACATCTCTTGATTCATGTGAAAAATCAGCGGGTGGTCACCAGTCAGATGCTGAGGCCCATATCACAGACTGTCTAACTCTCCAGGCCTGAAATGGGCCCAGAACTGCTATTCTAAGTGAAGGTCACAACTGACTAATGCAAGTGATCAGCGAGCCACTATGTGAAAATACTAATACAGATGGAAGACTTCACACAGTTGGAAGATTAAAAGAGAAATTAACAGCAAAAGGCAAAAAAATAATGGTGGCAAATTTACTTGATTCTTCATAATCTGTCACCCTCCCCATTCCTTTAACCAGGGAATGCTTCTGAGGAGAGAATGCCCTGTGTGTGGGTAGTGCTCTGGGTTCAAAGGGAGTAGACACCAAGTGTGCTTTTTCTCAATGGGCATACCTCCTGCTCCTCATCCGAATATCATCTACAGCAATTGCACAGCAATCCCAGGACAGAGTGAGGAAATAAATTTTCATGTATCTTCTGCAGTGTGATTCTATTAGTTGAGTATTTGAAGGTCTCACAGAGGTTAGTATTTAACTGCAAAATATCTTTTTGGTGCATCTCTGCATTTCTTTCAACTCACCATGATAATTGTGTTGTGACACCGCCTCACCAACTTTTTCAGTGAACTGAGAACTTCCTTGTTTCTGAAACTATAGGCAAGTGGGTTTAGGAAAGGAGTGAGGACCGTTCCAAATAGAAACAAACCCTGATTCAGCTTTGGAGTCCTGGCAGAGCCAGGTCTCATGTAGATAAACATCCCAGGGCCAAAATAGAGCCCCACAACACAGAGGTGAGAGGAGCAGGTGGCCAGCGCCTTGCTCCTGGCTTCTGGGGAGCTCATTTGGAGCACCGTCAGGAAGATGACAACATAGGAAGACAAAATGAGTGACAAGGGCAGCAGCAGAACAAGGATGCTGGTCACCACCACTGCCTTCTCATAGACTGAGATGTCCTCACAGACTATCCTGAGGACTGCCATGACTTCACAGAAGAAGTGGGGGATCTCTCTGGGGCCACAGATGTGAAAGTGTAAGGTGAAGACAGTGTGGCCCAGGGACGTGAGCGCCCCTCCAGCCCATGCCATGGCAGTCATCTGCAGGCAAACACTGGGGCTGACTATGACTGTGTACCGGAGGGGTTTACAAATGGCCACGTAGCGGTCGAAGCACATGAACGTTATGAGCATGCATTCTGCAATAGCTACGGTCAGAGAGAAGAAAATCTGGGCCCCACAAGCCAGGAATGAGATGTTCCGCCAACCAGAAAAAAAGTTGGTGAGCATCTTGGGGATGATGCTGGAGGCCAACGTCAGATCCATTACAGAGAGCTGACTGAGCAAGAAGTACATGGGGGTGTGCAGACGGGAGTCCAGCCAGATGAGGAGGATCAGGAGCGTATTGCCAGTGCAGGCGGCTGTGTAGATCAGGAAGATGATGGGGACCAGCACTGTGATGTGTCTGAGCTCTGGGAAGAAGCCCAGGAGTGTGAAGTCAGTGGCTTCTGTCTCATTTCCTCTAAGCATGGCTGTGAAGACAGTGGATGGAAAACGATACAAGAGATGTCAGAGGTCAAGCACCTTGCTATTAAAGCTTGTGATGGAACAAGGCTGTGATGACAATGGGAAATATAAAAAATATTCGTTCATGATCATTTGAGTCAATTCTTAATAATTTTCTTTTGTAATTCTAGTCCATGTGCTAATGCATTTTAGAACCACAGAATGTATGTTATAATATACCATTAAATTTGCTGTTTAAAATATTTCTATATGTTACTACAACTTTTTAACAATTATAATTTCTTAACACTACAAAATGTGCTGTTGATTTGATATTCCACAATCTCCATTCGCACATTATTCAGTTTTTATTATTTTTGAAAATGATACTGGTTCCATTTTCAATTCCTCAGTGATTTCTTTCATAAGATATTTCCAAAAATACTTCAGGTCATATATTATATACTTTATGTGGCCAGAAATATAACACTGTGAATTTAATATATGGAAGGATTTAAAACATTTAAAAATATTTCTTATTTACACAGACCTCCCCATGCTCTGGTTTCTCTTCAGATCATATAAATCTTTCACCTTTTACACGGACCTCCTGGCCAGAGGCATTAAAATCTAAGGGGAAGTACAGTAAGCCATTAGGGTTGCTCACTGTGTTTTACACATTACAGTCTTGTTTTGTTTTGTTTTTTACCGGGAATCAAATTCACGATGTTGCGCTTGCCAGGCAGGTGCTGTGCCGCTAAGCTAAATCCCCAGCCCCTCACATTACAGTCTCGAAGCTGTTAATCTAATTTGCCTAGTGTTCTACCTGAGGAAAACATTCTTTTTATTGACATGGTCTATAATAAATTTAGATTGTTAGTAATGGAGAAAGTTGTCTTTTTCTATGACCTTATAAAGTTCCTGCTATTGAAAAATTCATATAAACCTCAGCGCCTAGTTAAAGCAGTTATGTGTATAACAAGCATAGGGAAAAATTTCAGGGCTTCTTTCCTCCAGGATTACATTGTCCTCAGGTTTCCTTAGCTCTATACAAAGTATGATTGCAGACTATGTTGAATGTTCACATTTTTAAAAAGTTTATTATAGTAAAAGACAGTTTAGTAACAGTTTTATTATAGTAAAACTCAAAATAGACCCCCTCACTTCAAGCACACCCATCCCTTCCTCTTACCACTTTCTGAGGCAGTTCTAGAAGTCATCTCCTGTGAGTGTCTTTAGTTGCCCTGTTCCTGAACTGATGCAAAACATTTTCCGTTCATGGTCATTTTGACTTTGCAGAAGAGCCAAAAGTCCCACCCTGCCAGGTCCAATGAATAAGGTGGGTGAGGACACATGTAATGTTTCCATAGAGCTACTTTCCATTAGATGGGACTTGGCAGTCATATTCACTGTATTTTTTAATAATATCTCTTAAGGACACTTAGGAAAGAGGACTTCCAGAATGACCTTAGAAAGTGGCAATAATGTGAAATGTACTTGAAGGGAGCTGGTGCATTTTGAGGGGAATTACTAACAATGTGTCTTACTATAATGCATTTTAAAAATTTAAATATTTAAATATACTTTGATCACATCTTGCATAATCACCTTGGTGGTACTTATAAAACCATTTAAAAGGTATGCAGGTTCTTGACGAGTTTATAACAAGAGATAACACACCCATCTTCTCCTAAGGCATATATATCCTCAGTACAAGGACCTCACAAGAACAGCAAGAAGAAAGGACAATTGTAAGGAAGTTGCAGCCATGAAAATAATTTCAGAAATTCTGAAAATAGAGAAATTTACTACAATAACATATGTAAAAAAACCTATAGACTGAATTTAAGAAAGATGTACCTTAGAGTGTTTATAAAGTTAGCTAAACAGCTTAAAGGGGAAAACAGAGCCTTTGAATAGTTATCAAAAAATTGATAAATTTTATCCCAAACATGATTTTAAAATACTCCAAGGAAACCAGTAGTAGAATATGATGCTCTGGCATCCTAGTCTCACATCCTAGTCTTGACACCCCATGACACTCATTTCATCCTGAAGTCATTAAAATCTAATTATTAATGGCTCGGCTATCCTACTCTCTTTGCAAAGGCATGTGTATGCATGTACGTGCCAACATCAATAACAAGACACAAGTTTTCTTCGTACAAAGACTCAGTGCCTTCTTCCCCTCAGTAAGAGTGAAAAGTGATCTCAAGTGTTTGGTAGTTGTTCACTTCCCCAATTCTTGTGCTGTTTTGGTTTTAACCCAGTACTTCCATCCAGACTCTTGATTTAAATTCGTTAACCAAAATAGAGGTTGATTTTGAATCTGGAAATTGTGGTGGCAAAAAAGGTATAAGTACACTCTCCATTTACAGTCATTAAAGAGGCATACACTTCTCATAGACACCAGCAGACCACTCTGGGCTGACACTGCCGTGAGTCACCAATCTATACATACCAGCCTTTAGTGGAACACTATATTATTATCAGTTCCTGATCAAGGGATTATGTACTGATCATGTCTATAACATGTTACTGAATGTCTGACTGACTTGAGGAGCTTTCTTACTTGAGGTGTGGAGATGGAGTTAAGATTTTAAGATGGTTGATCTCATAGACATTAAAAGCAGAACTATGGTTTCCCAAGGCTGAGAAGGGTGAGGGGGCAGTGGAGTAGTGAGAGGTTAGCTAAGGGGACAAAGGTTCCAGTTAGATGGAAGAAATAAGTTCTAGTGATCTGCAGTACAGCAGAACGGCCATGATTAATGACTTACTGTGTATTACAAAATAACTACACAGGAGGACTTAGTTCCTAACACAAAGAAATGTAAATGCCTGTGGTAACAAGTACCTTGATTACTTTTTGTTGTCACACATTGTGTACAAGTAACTGAAATTTCACACCTTACCCCACACATATGTATAGCCATTACATGTTATTTAAAAACAATTTTAACGAGAAAATTGTCCAGCTTGCATCTGTTCTTTCCTTCCTTAATGTGAGTCTAGGTGGAGCTGATGGGATTTCTGTGCCTGAATTAAAGTCATTAGATGGAGAGATATGAGATTGCAGTGTGGCCAGACCTTTGAAAATTGTTTAACTTTGCAGTTTAACTGTTATGTTATGCAGCTTCCCAATCAACCTTCATTTCTACTTCCAATGCTGCTTTCCAAGGCTTTTAGTGTCTTGATATTGGCTGGGTTCTGTTATTATAAAACGTCATTTGAAGCTCTCTTCACCACGGTCTAGATTGAAACGTCAGTGTCATCACTGAATTGGGTGATGGACAGTAGCATCTGCTTCAACCACTAGACCAAGAGGTTAATGCTGGAAGGAACTGTCTTTGCTTGACAGAGCTTTCAGACTTTGAATCCAGTGCCCTGACTGAGTTAGTAGCTTTTAGCACAAAACTTAGACTTGAAGGCAATGATTTCTTTTTATATCATTGGCTTCAAAGCACTGCCCAACATTTTGTCTCAGTGGTGTACAGGAAGAGATTCCACGTTATTATGTTCATTTAAGAAATGATTCAAGAAGGTGCACCCAACTTTGTCTACTCA